TTGTTCTGCCATAACATCTTCACATGTAGCTTGTCCGGTATGAGGAGTTTCCCTCCTCGCCACCTGAAAAATTATTAAAATTTAATAGCTAATTATAAAGTAATTGATATTTATCTATAAAACAGTTTTTTTTTTTTTTGCTAAAATTTTTTAAAAAATTTGGACCATTTCTCGATTTTTTTTAAATACAGTTACTTTATGATACTATAACTTGTTTGGACAGTTGCGGTTTAGACATTGTTTTCTGAGTTTATCACGTCGGGTAAAACTTTAGGTCATATTGTTAGTTTAAAATTGATTATCACTAACCTTCCAGTATTATCACGTCGGGAAAATTGATTATTTGAAATCCTTTTGTAAATATTACATAATATTATATAAAAAACAAATTGAATTCACTTGCAATGCAAGCAAATAGTAACCCTAAGCATCTTTTTTTTTTACAGCATTCACTTTTTCTTCTTATTTTTTGTTCTTTTTATCTCATGCGAGAGGGAAAAAAACTATAAAAATAAACGTGTCTTTATAAATATATCACACCGGACAAAAAAAAGATTCTTTTTAATGGTTTTAATTAATTTGCATTTGAGGATTTGATCCATATGAATTTTAATAAAATATATATTAAAACAGATTATATTCTTCTCATTTTTTTAAGTAATACACATTAGATTCAATTCATATTTTATGCAAATAAATGTGTCTCACGTTTTTAGTACTCACCACTCGAGGATGCAGATTAATGTAGTTAATTTTATGAAACGAAAAAAAAGAAATCAGTGCATACCTCATCAAAGCTCTTCATAAACGGAACAAAGCTGAGTTGATCCATTGCATAACTCGGAAGACCAGCCGCCACCGCCATAACGCCACCTACTTCATCAGATCGATTGGGAGGATTAAGAATCTCTCTAGATGAAGAACAACTCCCACCACTAGTAGTCCCACTCTCTCTCCTCATTTGATACTCTCCGCCGCCTCCACCGCTACTTCCTTCGCCGCCTCCACCGCCTATAGCGTTCAAGCTCGACGTTGAAGACGACCAGTTGCATTGCCTAGGTTGAGTCTGATAAAATATCTTAGAGACTACAAGCTCTCCTTCTTTCTCTTCCTCATGTGTCCCCAAATGATATTGATGCATTACCCAATTGGTTTTCTCCGGTTTTCGATTCTTACCGAAATTCGTATACAAAACCAAAATCTTCTTGCAACCTTTTTGCTTACCGTTTACCATAACCGGTCTTGTCTTACCGGTCTTATGCCATCTCGTCTCACCGGAGCTACTACTTCCTTGGATATTATTGTCACATTCCGTTTGAATCTTTCTTCGCTTTCTTGTTCCCGTCGTGTACGCTTTTGATGGTCTATGAAAGAAGTGTCTGCTTAAACCATCTCTAGTCACTCCTACCAAAATTATAAAAACAAAACACAAAATACAGTTTTTGTTAGTTTCTATGTTTCTTGTGTCAACCAAATTGAAAAGATTCAAAATTTGGTATGACCATAATGGAAAAGAAAAAAAAAATCAAACATTGGTTTGACCCAATTCTCCGTAGATAATTATATCAAACAACCATATGTAATATTATATAAGAAAGATATGCATATATTTTATAAATATGGAATGCATGAAGAATATATTTTACGCAATGAAGTATATTATGCAGACTCAACTAAAATAAGATTCATACTTTGGTATGACCGAATGCTC